AGCTTACGATTACGAATGAAGGTGAAATTCCAAAAATGTTCACGAGCTAAACATCACCATTTGGTCCAAATGAATACGTGTACCAAGTTTTATCCACCTACGTTTATTACTGTGGGAGATATTTCCACTGAATTTGGACACCGGCCGCAAGTCCGGCCGTAAATTTGTCCGAGACGTCTCCATGGCGAGATCGCGCAATTTGAGCAAACTACACAGATGGTTCTGTTCTAACCGTTGAGGCAGGAGGTTGTTTGTGCTGAGCTCCCGTGACAGTAGTCGGCTTCGGCCGGCTGCTACGTCATCTTTCTGGAACTATCCTCCTCAAACTTTGAAAATGCCGTACTGTCTCGCTCCGAGGCGTTGAGCCGGCGAATGGTACGACCAGCTATAAAGTGATTTTTAACTCCTGAACACCTATAAATGCTCTCGTAACAAAATCCAGTCAAATTCCTTGAACTGTTCTGACGTGGGGCCGCATTGAACAAGTCTTCAGAGGCTCCCATAAATTCCAACTAAAGAAAAGAAACTACACAGATAAGTCGGCACAGAGTGGACGCTCTGAAAATTGCAACGATTTCATTCCGACTTGAAACTGCGCAGACAAATCGTTTAAAACTGATCGTGTAGACCAGCCTTTGAAGTTCTCTCGAAGTTCGTTTGAGCCAGACGCTACAATTAACTGCTTCGTATAACAATAATTGACTGATAGTAATAATAAAAATGTGTCGAAACCTGGCAGAAACTGCACATACTTTGCCGCTCGTCAGTAAAAACCGTAAAATACTGCTCAGAACTTCGAATTTTAGGGTTCGATCGCCACATAATAACTGAAAAATGTATCGATCGCGGTGTAAGGATTTGCTTTAGTTTTGTTTAAGAAATAGATCGCTTCTATTGATGTCCGGCGACTTAAGTGCTGCTGGCAAGGTTGTCGGCATTGACGTAGGCATTAAACCTGCCGTTTGTTCAGGATTTTTACCGCTTGTTGCTTTTCTCGAACATACAACTCACTGCTTCAATTATTTTATTCAGTGCTTCATTTTCAGAATCCTTCATTTGACGAAGAAATTTCCTCACCATATATGTTTTTGATAATTTCTTCAGCGTCGGAACGGAATGTCTGCATCGGCAACGTCAACATTCAACAATATGTAATATTGAGAAAGTCAGTTTGGCAGTAATAGAGTCGGAGCTCTTTGCAATACATGAGGCTCTTAACTGGTCACTAACAAATCTGTCTCCTGCTGAAAAACTTGTTATCTTTACTGACTCCCAAGCATCCATTTTGCTGATCAAAAATAGAAGACCAAATAGCTACTTGCATCTAGTTTTCAAAATTCAAACCAAACTTATGTCACTACTCTCCTCTCATGAAATATTTCTACAGTACATTCCTGGGCACAAGGGCATCAGCCATCAGGGGCAATGAGGTGGCCGATCAGGCAGCAGCGTAAGCACATTCCCTGCGGTACCGCACAATAACTGCCACCTCAAAGGAGGAACTGGCAAGACAGTTGAATATAAAGATGACGTCAAAGTGGAACAGTTGCTGGCTGAACAATATTAGAAATTCAGGGAAGGGCCTCTTCATTAGCTTAATCAAAGGGGAGGTGGGCAATTGGCCATGGGATGATGGGCATAGTGGCAAAGCAGAGAGTTTTTTTAGACTCTTCCTCAAGTTCATTTTTGAGTCCTATAAGTAGACCAGCAAAGTATCTTGGATACCAGAATTATCATACATAAGAAATCTGTTAAAATCTTGAGTAAATGAGAAAATTAAAAATGAACTGATTCCGAACAATCACTGGTTTGCCACTATGGATGGGCTCTCAACAAAAATCGAGCCGTGGAGACGGACCTGGCCAGACTGCGCACTGGTCATGCTGGAGTGAAAGCACACCTAGCAGGCTAGCTCGTTTCAACATGGTTGACAGCCCCTTATGTCCTTGTGGGTCTCCAGAAACCATTCATCACCTGCTGCTGAATTGTCCAATTCATGCCTCTGCTCGTACAAATCTTACTAATGCATTAACTGCACTTAATGTTCCGGTCAATTTAAAGAATCTGCTGGGAGGAGGTCCTTTTTCTGATGTCACCCAGGATGCAATTGTTGACGCAGTTGCTTCCTTTTTAACTTCTACCAATATGCTTCAGGTACTTTGATGATAAATTTGTTACTGGCCTAGTCACTAGGTATTCTAACCCTTAGTAGAATAAATTTACCTAACACTTGTGGGAACTAACAATCTAAATTTAAATTCCTTCCCACACTCAACTGAGTGTTTTGATAATGGAAAGAGGAGCACTCTATGCAGTTTTAATAGGTTTAGGAATGACTAGTTTATGTAAGTAGGGACTGCCTTTTGTGAGGAGTGCTCTTCTTACCCCACTTTGCCAAGCCTCTTCTAGCGTCAGTCATAACCCCGCCCACAGGAGATTGTGTTTAATTTATTTGTTTTGCAATCAAAGTTCATCTTTGTTCCTTTCGCTGTCGAGTCCGAAGAAGCTCCAGGCTGCCCCCACCCAGGCTGGACCTTCAGTTAGCATAATGATCTCATGTGTGGCGCAAGTTAGGGCATGGGTGTGACTGTGACAACTAATACTAGATTTGAACTAGAATTGTAGAAAAGAATACTTACCTGATGACTGACCGTAGTGGTAGCATCCAAAGTTGTTGGGCCGCCTCTCTGAGGTGGTCCATGTGTATATATAGAGATATGATATGCTGTATAGATATAGATGTTTGTGCATATAGATGTGCTTTGCGGCTCTGACTTGTTACTCGGCTCTGCGGCGTTCCTCGGCTCTGCGGCGTTCCTCGGCTCTGCGGCGTTCCTCGGCTTGGTCGTGTTCCGCGGCTCTGCCGTGTTTCACGGCCGGGCCGTGTTCTGCGGCGGAGCCTTGGAGCGCCCGTGGAGTGCAGTGCATGTCGCCATGTCTTGTTCACTTTAACGGGTTTGCCGTCCATGCTGTTATGTTATTGCATTTTATATTGTTTATTCTTTTGTTCTAGCACGTTTTTTTTTTAATTTTTTTTCTCTTATTTCAAATTTTATTTTATTTTTTCTTTTTATTTATTTTATTTCATTATTATTTTCAATTTTTAATTTTTTATTTACTTTATTTTATCAATATTTTTTATTTACATATTTTTCTTTTTAATTTTCATTGTTTTTGTTATTTACTCTAATATTTATTTCATTTACTGCTTTATCATTATTATTTGTCTATGTTTAATTTTTGTATAATTTTATTTTATTCAGTTATTTATTAATATTATTATTATTATTTTACAGTCATCTGTGTTCTGTGTGCATGTAACTTAACCATGTCATGTGTAAATTCTCTCTTACATGCTGTCAAGCTCATCCATCACCTCTATTGACCTTGTACAAACAAGGACAAAGAGGCCAGCTTTCCTTACCAAGAAGTCCAACATAACATAAGCTCTCAGGCCCAACGGTCATCCTTGTGGCTGTCCTGTGGCTTTCAGTCCACCCAACGTGGACACCTTGAAAAGAAGAAGAAGAATGCTAGTCAGAGACTGTATGTGTGTCATTTGAGCTCTCTAAAAAGTAAAAACTAATGAATTGGTTTCTGAAGGATTAACATTTACTTAAAATAAATAATAATAAAATATATATTGATGCAATTCTAGGATTGGCTGTACAATGGGGGTTGGGGAAGAGGATAGGAACGAGTAGCCCTACGCCTCTACTGACAGTCTGACAGAGGCTACTGTAGTTAATTGGCTTCTACTTCTAGTAGACTAGTTCTAGTAAATTTGATTCGCCTTGCCTAATTTTTTCTCAAAAAATTGTAAATTCTTACTTGTGATTTCTGAAACTTGCTCTTAAAACATTCATGATCATGAGTCATGACTTCTTTACCGTAGAAAATGATGTTTATGAGGCATTTAATTTATACCTAGATCATTATATGGTGGCAAGATCTAATTTCTAAAGACATGAATTTTTATGCTAATGTGTTGGCACTTGGCAAAGATCTTCAAATTTTGCTAACTTTCTGGTCTCTCTGACCCTGGTCTTGCTCATTTGAAGTCTGAAGAAAATATAAATTGTTTTATTTCCAGTATAAATGTAGTAGGGTAAATGCCGTATATTCTGACACATTAAGGACGCATTGAGAAATGAAAAACTATAAAAAAAACCGTATGCGTTACGTAAGTTCTGTTGCCTTCACATGACTTTCAAAACACTTCACTACGCGTCAGCAACGATGAAACGTCACAAAATGTTGCCAACTTGCCATATTTATTAAAAAGCCTTTAGAATGGAAACCTACCAAATCCCTATATTCCGTCACTTTGTGTGGCAATATTGGACACGTGGTGAGTCGTATTGCGTCAGCGCTACAAATTTAACTGATACGTATTGCCGACATCCACGTGTTCGAATTCCGTTTGCTGTGTGAGCTGTATTGGGAGACAACACGGCTTTGAATTAGAACACTAACGAATATTGAACACTACTTAATTAAGTTTTAATTAACAGCTATTAGGCTTTTAATTAAGCAAGTTTCAATTTTTGTACAAAGCTTTGAACGATCTGTGTGTGTCCAATTCAAGTTGTGTCGGAATTAGTTTTCATGTGTCTAAATCCAACATCTCAACTTAATCATCTATTAATTTATTTACGACTTGAAATCAGTGAATACAAGTATACTTAAAGGATTCCTAATATATTCACAGACGTATTTAAAAGTCTCAAACCATAATATTCTTCCTATAAAAACAGTTATTCACTATTTGGTAGTGTTTTTGCAGTATTTCGACACGCAAATGTATGACGTCACCATTTCAACCATCAATGAACGCATGGAACTAAAACAAAGCTTAATATAAAGGAAAAGCTGGAGAGGTGACGGAATTACCTACGATGTCGGAATATACCGCATTTACCCTAATTCTGAACTTCTGAAATCTGAAGTATATAATAAATGTATAGTCTGGAAAATAGGTTACTACAATACTACTAGCATGATGCTTCTTTCATAGATTGGAAAAGGATTCCAATTTAGCTAGAACTGAGGATTTGATATTCATTTTTTCATGTTAAAGTAAAATCAAATTTATCCAGTAACCATGAATGTATGTGAAGAATCTTTGTTAAATGTTTTGATGCCAGATGGAGTGCCAGGTAAGCTTGTCAGCTTGTTCTTTACTAGTAAATAGAAATGCTTAAGTCTATGGGCCTTCTCAGACAGATGCACAGACAGTACAGTTTGTAGTTGTGTAAATGAATTTTATTTAGCTGGATTTATCAATTAAATTAATAGAGCAAGAAATCAGATATACTAACCACTGTGACACTGTTGACAGTGTCACTGTGTCACCACTGTGACATTGTCATACACAGGATGACACTTCCTGTCATCCTGTGTTTACTGTATTTGTAATTTGTATAGGACTTGCTCATCATTGAAAATTCTTCATTAGGTACATTATTAAATTGAATATCTTGTAGTATAAATATTTTAAAAATGAATTGCAAAGAATTTTTGAGATCAATTTTCATTTGGAATCAATTGAAAAATAAAGGTGCATTAACATGTTCTTTAATTTTTTGTCTTTCATAATAATGAATTCGTTCATCCATGCTCTGCAGCCAGTCATGTGACTCCATCAATATAAATATCTTGATGCATGTAATGATGTAGGTTTTCTGCAAGTAAATAAAAGCTTTATGTAATGCAGTTTTTTTTGAATACTTCATAGGTTGGTGCACATGGAAAAAGTTTAAATGTGGAACGGTCAAAACAGCTTGGTCATATACCTACAATGCTTCTAACCGATCTTGAAAATACTTAAAAGTTACCTACTTTCTATTAAGCTTTCAAATACTAATTGTATGTAAAATTTAGGTCACTTTTTTCTGGTTGTGTTTACATATGTTCCAATTTACTCCCTTTTTTTTGTGTTTTAATCAAAGCATTGTTTTCAGCTTCTTGGCTTGAGTCTGATGATTTTTCTGCATACATCAAACATCTCGCTTCTGGTGGACTTCAAAAGCTGAGTAAGTTTGTTGTACACAAAGATTTTGTGCTCCACTCAAATCTATTTTGTGCTCTGAGATCATCCAGCACAACAATATTATGTCAAGGCTTATTTTAAAAAAACTATTAGAGAATGATAAAACTACTTCTTTCAGTATTAAAAAAATGGTAATAGATTGTTTATTCAAAAATTGATCAATTGAAATTACATATCCTCATGTCTGGGTTAGGAAATTCTGCATCTCATTTACATAATGACCAACTAATGAATTTTTTCTCACCTTTGCAAAACCTTTAAATTAAAGTTACAACCTGTATAAATATGTACTAGTTATATAAATTACTGTACTAAATTATATTGTATTATAAATATTCCCAATGGGTCATTATATTGGCAAAAAAAATCTTAACTATTTCAACTCTTGCTCATTCCACCCCAAAATTCTACAGGAAGTTCTGTGATGTATAAACTATGGTGGTGATGGTGTTGTGTTGAAGAGAAGGCCAAGGCTAGATATGCATACGCAATAAGTTTTTAACCACCCTGCTACCTTGCCAATTTCAATGAAAATTGTTAACAATTACTTGTGTGTCTCAATCGCCTTAGTCACTGCTCAAATCTAAGCGATCTTGACCGATCAGCAACCTTGTAATAAAACCTAATTTAAATCCTACCCTCAACAGGTAGTGAATGTGATGCACTGAAAGATGAGCAAGCATCGCTTTTGGAACAAACAAAAGAATTGGCATACAAAGAGTACCTTACCTTCATACATGCTTCTGATTGCTCCAAGTCTCTACACTCTCAGGTGGGACTATAATAAAGTGTGCTGTTGCTTATTTGCTTCTTCATGATATCATTTATTGCTTCATCAAGCAGAATATACTAGTATTACTGATGAAATTTTCATATTAATTAGGTACTAGAGGATGCACGTATATGGTATATGGTATATGTATTGCAGGATGCACATATATGGTATATGGTAGACTCTATTGCCTTCCAGCTGTTCTGTACGACACAGAAACTAATTGTACTGTAGCTATCTTGTCTGTTGTAGTAGATGAAGCCTCCTACTGTTAAAATGATGCCCATTAGTGAACAAGAAATCTTACCCTTTTTTAGATGAATAAGTTAATTTTAACGTTTTTAACTGTTTACATGTATCTTATTGCTTTGCAAGTCAACAAGCCTGCAAACTATTATTCTTAAGCAAAATTAATGATTGCCATGAACATTAGAATGTTGCAAGAATTTTTATTGTAGTTTGCTTTATTGATTGACAGTGCTAATTTACCTACCTATATCTAACTGTGAATAAGAATGTATTTTAAACACGAATTAATTACAGCTTGCATCACTGGAGAATCAGCTGAGCCACACTTCGGACAGCGTTGCTTCTCTGCACTCAACTCTAGATGGATTCGTCAACACTTCGCGCTCACTCCTTGCCAGCCGGCAGCTCAACTCCACCACTCTTGCTAAGCACACACAACTTCTGGAGGTCTGCTGCCTACAATATTTTCTTGCTTTCTTTTTTGTTTGTTTTCATCAAATTGGTTCTCAATTCGCTCATTACTGAAATGAGGTTTTTAAACTTTAATATCAGTCATTTGAAATTCATTTATTTTCAAGTTTACTCAGTACTGGTCAATGCTTTTGCATTTGTTGCATTTGGTCTGTAAATTAAAACAATAGCATAATGTTTCTTGAAAGTTTATTTTTCAATCTTACCTATATATCAAAAAGCATTTCTGTTGTAGTATTACCACTTTAATTTTTGTGGCTTATCATGTTGCAGTGACAGTAAAAAGGATTATTATTTCCCACACATCATCCTCCCCCTACTTCATCCGTTCCCATCATCCTTGCACTTCTTATCATCTAGGCAGTGATTATGATTAATCTAGTGCCGTCATACTCACACTAGTTACTCTTGATCTATGCAGTGATTATAGTTAATCTAGTGCTGTCATCCTCGCACTACTCTTGAGCTGTATAACGATTAGTGATGTTAATCGTTGCAATGATCTATGCAGCGATTATAATTAATCTTGTGCCATCAACTGAGCACTACTCTTGAGCTGTGTAGTGATTATTGATGTTATCTTTGCACTAATTTTAATCTATGCAATGATTAACATTAATCTTGTGCCATCAACCGAGCACTACTCTTGAGCTGTGTAGCAATTAGTGATGTTAACCTTTGCGCCACTCATGATCTATGCGTTGATTATAATTAATCTGTTGATCAATTCCAGATCTTGGAGTTATCCCAGCTGCTGGACACGTGCGTACGTAACGGCTACCACGACGAGGCGTTGGAGATCATAGCGTATGTGCGGCGGCTCGAGAAGCGCCATGGTTCTATCCCTATCATTAAGGTGAGGTGTCTTGTGCTAATTAATTTCATTCAATAAATTATTTAAACTAAATTTTAGTAAAATTGAAACTAAATAATAATAAATTTATTATTATTTTATTATTGCATGCTTGAAAAGCACAAAATATCTGAGGAGAACACTCGCAAAAATGATACGGTATATAACTAAGAAAACATTTTTATTTTACCTCGGTATGCTTGAAATCATTGGTAAGCATTTTGGACAGATCAGTCCCAGGCCACGCTGGAGCGGGTACTGGTAATTTTGAGCACATCTTGGCTTCGTTGCTGCAAGTACACAGACTTGGATAACGCTGTTTTCTTTCTTTTGTTGTCTATATTTCATACGTTCTCTTTGCTTGAAGCAATTTCAATGGGTAGTGTATTGAAATTTTGGGAAAACGCTCTAGATATTTACACAGAAGTGTCAACCTTATATAATTCACCGTACTCCAAGTGTTATTCCCTTATATGACCTCCTATGCAAATTTAAAGATTTTTTAATAGAAGTAACTGCCACATTTCTATACAGGTAAATTTTAAGGAGTTAAATTTCACAACTAACAATATAAAGTACTCAAATACTCCATTTATTCAATGAATATAATTAATTGTATACATGTATTGTGTATGTACATATTATTATAAAAAATACATTATATTCTCTATTATTTATGTGATATAAATCAATTAATGTAATCTAATTTATTGATATATGACAGAGCATCGTGCGGGAGGTGCAGGCGTCCAGCCAGCAGATGTTGTCCCAGCTCCTGGCCCAACTCAGAACTGAGGCCTCCCTGCCGCAGTGTCTTAAGGTTAGCATTGCCTGTTGTTGTTAAGGTTGACATTACATCTTGTTCTTAAGGTTGACATTACCTGTTGTTCTTACGGTTAACATTAGGTACCTGTTGTTGTTAAGGTTAACATTACCTGTTGTTCTTAAGGTTAACATTACCTGTTGTTGTTAAGGTTAACATTACCTGTTGTTCTTAAGGTTAACATTACCTGTTGTTCTTAAGGTTAACATTACCTATTGTTCTTAAGGTTAACATTACCTGTTGTTCTTAAGGTTACTATTACCTCTTGTTCTTAAGGTTAACATTACCTCTTGTTCTTAAGGTTAACATTATCTCATGTTCTTAAGTTTAACATTACCTCTTGTTCTTAAAATTAACATTAGGTACCTGTTGTTCTTAAGGTTAACATTACCTCTTGTCCTTAAGGTTAACATTACCTGTTGTTCTTTAGGTTAACATTACCTCTTGTTCTTAAGGTTAATATTACCTGTTGTTCATAAGGTTAACATTACCTGTTCTTAAGGGTAATATTACCTCTTGTTCCTAAGGTTAACATTACCTCTTGTTCTTAAGGTTAACATTACCTGTTCTTAAGGTTAACATTACCTGTTCTTAGGGTTAAAATTACCTGTTGTTCTTAAAGTTAGCCTTACCTGCTGTTCTTAATGTTGTAAGCTTCCATGCTGTTCCTAATGTTTCAAGCTATTCATTTACATCTTGTCCTCCATTATCTCAAAGCCATCATTAATTTGCCATCGCTCACGCCTTAAGATAAATATAAATCTGCTATCCCTCTCGCCTAAGACCAACAATAATCCTGATTAATCAAGTTTTTAATTACCTAGTAGATTAACCTATTAAATATGCTATCTCACGCGGCAGGTTGTTGGTCTGATGCGCACGCTGGACGTGTTCACGGAGTGCCAGCTGCGCATGAAGTTCTTACATGCGCGGGACGCATGGATGACCGCAGCCCTCGCTGCGCTGCCTGCGCATGACCGTCAGTCAGAGACTTAATAGCAGAGGCTCTTCTTGTACACAAATAATCTTTTGAACTTAATTATTACCCGTACACGTTAAGTGCGGCTATGTCGTGTTCAAGGCGTATTTCATACCGCTGGTACGACCGGTATGTTGTTGCTGTTGACATAATATTCCTTTTTTAACTTAGCATGGGTCGCACAGAACTCAATGTGTTAAATTTGTACCCAGTGAGCATTGGCATATGTTCATATAACTTCACATAACTTTTTACTAGATTTGCTGCCCTGCCCACCTATGATGAGGATAGGAACGAGTACCGTAGTAAATTGGCGTCAATTTCTGCCTAGTAAATTTGATTCGTTTTTGCCTTGCCTAATTTCTTCTAAACAAAATTGTTTACCCCGACGTCTTAAGTGCAGTGAGCTTAAAAAATCATTGTGGGCTTATCCTGCACAAACTCTTCATGTGCACAAATAATCTTCCATAGTTGATCAATTAATTTGTATGCACTGCGCACATAATTTGCTTGCTTGCTAACGTGTCAAATTTGCTACGCTAATTTGCTGCTTCCCGGAGTTTTTGTCAAAGTGACTGAGCAAGGCAGGAGTATCTTCTCATGTACTAGATGAAATGAATTGTACGCAGTGCATATTAGCGAGCGTTTTTCTGACGTCACATGACTTTTTACTACTTACTTAGCTGTCCTATTCGGAATCTACTTTTCTTAATTAATTTACCTGTGCACGTTTGCACTGAAAAGTGCAGCGCCCTAGTGAGTAATTTTTTATTTTTAAATAAGAAATTTTAATGTAAGATTTCAGATTTCGTTAAGTACTTTGACTTGAAATCTGTACTTTTTTAAAAGAACCACTCGTGAATAGCGCTACAATAGTTAATATGATTCGTGATTATTACGCTAATTCGGGTTTAATTCTTATGTGTACGTATATTATTTAAATATTTTCGTAACCCTATATGTGACTTCTTGGTGCAGTATTACGTGTATAAGCGACAACTGCACAATGATGTAAAAATTAGTGCTGACACGTATTCGTGTGCGCAGCGTACCAGCACCTGGCGGCGACGGTGGAGTGCGCGCGTGTGCACGTTTTTGACGTCGTGACGCAGTACCGCGCCATCTTCTCTGACGACGACGTGCCTTATGGCGCCGCCCACCGCGGCCCCCACGACGCTTACCTGCCTGCCCTCCTCCAGTCCTGGCTGCTGTACAGGGTGAGTGGTCACCCCGCACCAGCACCTGCAGTGTCGTGGTGCTGTACAGGGTGAGTTGTTACCCCGCACCAGCACCTGCAGCGTCGTGGTGCTGTACAGGGTGAGTTGTTACCCCGCACCAGCACCTGCAGCGTCGTGGTGCTGCACAGGGTGAGTTGTTACCCCGCACCAGCACCTGCAGCGTCGTGGTGCTGCACAGGGT